CCCAATTGATGGATAAATAGCCCGTAACAACCGACCGATCGTGGAGGGGATGATGGAGCACCGAGTTGTGAAAAATATGCCCACAACCACAATTGAGAGAGCCAAAGAGGCCCATTGCCGGTGGGAGATGCACCAGTTCTTAATTGAAATTGGAGGGAAGCCATGCCTCTATAAAAGGCGGCTAAGAACAACAACCAAATATTCAAGGACCTACCATGTGCCAACTCATTCGCTATGGGTAAATAACTCATTGAAGGTTTCATGCTAGGTATACAAAGGACATATTTACAAAGCCAAACCTGAAGAAAGGCTACATGCTCAATGTGAGAAGGTTCAGAGCTAAAGGCAATATAAAGGCCTTGCATGCCTGAGTAAGACTCAGTAAGCTTTTTATTGAACTTTGGGGCAGTACTAGTGACCAAAATACCAGGATCAATGGTATCGTCCAGTGGCGGAAGATTTACAAGGGCTCCAACACCCCTTAGGGTGATGGACATTAGGCCAAGTGGAAAAGCAAAAGTATTATATATCTGAAAACCAAAAATTTAATGCGGTCGAAAAAAGCACTGGGTCATAGATTGGGGGATGTAGTGTAATTTCTAGCAAGTCTGAAATCCTAGCACGATAAACAATCGCTGTGGTGGGGCCTTATTTTACTAAACGTGCATGCCAAAAACCAAAAGTAGAATCAGATTTAGGCCAAGAACGAATACCTCATTCCCGGATCGGCTTTAAAGGAAACAGATTCAGAAAAGGAGGATCTTGAGTACAAGGAAATAACTGACCTACCGACGTTTTTTCGATAGATTCAATGTCTTTAAAGGATGGACCCAGGTAGAATTCATTAAGGTTTGTGTTAGCTAATGAGAGAAAAGTCGAGTTTACATATGGCCTGGCAAGGAGGGTTTGGAAATCTTCAAAACTAAGGCTGTTATCAAAAGAGATTTGTGGAGTTGCCATTTGCAACATACTATACTCTTGGTAAAGGTTCTTGAAAGGCGTAGTGGAGAAGCAAGACGATGTTCAGTAACCTTCGTAAATGCACGATGTGAAGACGTGAAAGTAAAGGTGCGATAAAGTGGCGTGTCTTTGGGTTTATCGGGGTTTGTAACGTTGCACCTTTTTCAGATTATAGAAGGGTTACAATCAAACAAAAATAATGATTGAAATTCTTGGAAATTTCAAATATTGCCAAAAAATATAAAGAAAGATTATGGCAAAAAATTAATAATTAGTACTAATTCTACCATATTGAGGGGTAATTATTGACATACAAAAAGTGTAGCCCAA